CTTTTCTTTGAGCAAGCCAAGTGTTGAAGGGTCTAGGTTTTCGCAAGGATAACGCGATACCTGTGCTGAAATCGGCTCCTGCCGGTTTGCTGGGAGTCAGAGCCGTGTCTGACCCTGAAGGGTGTCGCCTGACACGCACAGCTCAGGGAATTGGGAAGTCTCGTTGAGAAGCCATGATTGCACCTAAAATGGAGAACCCCTGTGTTAAAAAGGACATACGCTTTATCACCTCCCTTCTTCTGTGCTGTAATCCATAGACAAATCGCAATTTTGGGGAAGAAACTACTGACGAGGACAGAGATTGAACTAAGAAATCTGAGCATTTTAGTGAGAGCTTTTGAGTACAGTGTACGCTTTATACTTTTCCAGATAGCACTGTGCAGTGCAGCCACATTGCACTAGTGGTTTGCAATCTGTTTGCATCCTCCCTCCTTTCTCCTCTTTTTCTCTGTGCTGCCTTCCTCCTTGCCCCAGTGTTAACGTTTATGCTTTTGCCTCTTTGTTTCGGCCCATCTATCCATCTTCAGGCTGCCTCAGTTTGCCTTATCTTTCTTTGCACAGAAACTCTTGTGCAAAAGCTTTATTTTAACCATGCCTCACTTTTAATGTTGGTGTGTCCTATTAGTAAGGCCGGACTCACCTTTTCAGAACTATGTGGAAGAGTCTTTTCTCTCTTTTAGGTACCTACCTCGTTCCTTACCCATATTTTGACAAATCTTATAGATAGTAGCCTGGTTTATTACACAGTCTTGATTCATTGTCCATTTGTATGATTTAAGTAAAATACACAACATATACAATAACTTTTAACTTTTGAGCTACATGCCGCTCATGCACACAATTCACTATGGCTCCACCCCCCCCCCCCCCCCCCACCCGATCAGTAGAGGCTGCATCAAGCACTGAACCTCTTAACTGCACAAAGAGGTGGGTGAGCATGCAGCGCTGTAGCCAAGACTCCCAAGTGCTTGCTCCACCGCGTCCAGTTCCACAGCAGTGTGGTGAGAACTCCTGAAGACATTTTCATTTTCACTTCTGAGCGGTGAATTGCTCTCAGCACTCCTCCCCCAGACTTTCTGCAGCAGCACCTTGTGATTGTCCAACCTGTGAAGTTTCTGGCATGGAGTGCATATGATCAGAAAGGCTGGACATTTCTCCCCTCCTCCTCCTCCTCTTTTTTTTTTTTTTTTCCAGTTAGGTTTTTACTTTTTCTTTGATTTCAAAGGGATTTCAAAGCTGTCTTTTACAGCTCTCAAGATTTGAGCCGAAATGAATGATAGACAAAGCAGAAAAGTAGCATTAGTACTTCAGGTATTATTGTACTCTGTTTGTGTTTTAATAATCTAAGGTACACTTTTACTGTGACTGCTAACAGTAAAGTTACTTTCTTAAAAAGTATATGAATACTGAATTCCTTGTTATCTACTCACAATTTTTTTTTAATAGTCGAACACAAAATGAAGGTCACCCAAAATGGTTCGTTCTGGGTGTTGGACAAGTCATAAAAGGGTTAGATATTGCTATGATGAATATGTGTCCTGGAGAAAAACGAAAGGTGACCATTCCTCCGTCGTTAGCATATGGACAGCAAGGATACGGTAACAACAAGTTTTAATACTAAACTTCATGTCTTTTTACTGTTTTAGTTACATTTTCAAATTAATGTGTAGTATTGTAAATGACTGTAAGAATTGGCCTGCTGTTATTTTTGGAGGGCATTTAAGGTGATGGCTGCAGTGGGACCTTGTCCTGCTCATTCCTGTGCAATTTGAGTAGTCCTTACCATAGACCCACAGCCAGGCCTTGCAGTTTGCATCAAATTCAGTACTGTGAGGCATCTGATGTGTTCCTCTTGAGTATTGCTACAATGCTAAAAATTGTCAGCAAAAGGAAGATCTCTTTGTAACATCCATACAAGCAGTTTTTCTCTTACTATGTTATATTCTATTCATGTTTAATTTCTATTATGTGAGTGCTACCTGCTTAACCTTTTAATGAAATCCTGCGTTTTCTGAGCAAAATGGAATGTAATCCACCGCATGCCACTGAATCAATTTAACTAGAAATCATTTCTTTAGAAGACTGCTTGCCTTCTGGATGGACAATGGACAATGTCATCACTACATAATACTTGCAACAGTACAATGCATGAAATGGGGTTTGAATTTCTGATATTTACATGTGCAGTATATAAAGATATATAGATCGTTCCAATCTTAATCTTACATGCTGTTTCAGCAATCTAATTTTAGATATTTTAAATTCATCTCTAGCTTGGGTGTGCTACTTTCCATGAATAAACTCCTGCTGTATGGTCGTAACTTGCTAGTGGTTTTGTGTCAGAATCCCATGAACCAGTTTCATCTTTGATACAATTCCACTGCAGCCAGTGAAGTTTACTAGCAATGAGTTTTGCCTCTTGAGCATAAGCTGTGTTTAATAAGTAAGTCTTGTAACAATAAGGGAAAACACTGAGACCAACCAGAAATGTTCCTAAAATCTAATACTAGCTCTAACTATCTGTTCTAGGTAAGACTTCGACAAAGTATTTTTTTCCTACAACATTCCTGTCCTCTGTCTCAGCGTATTCCTGCATGCTGGGGAAGATGCCTGCCTAATCTTGAATTAGAAAAGATGCATGTGGCTTTTTAGGTCTTTACATATCTTTTCTTGTTGGTATGTATATTCTTAAAAAACTAGTGGCACTGAATTCTAGTATTGTATCTTTCTTTCATAAGTAGTATATAAACCATAGCATATATTCAGATATAGTTAAAACTTCTACACATTTAAAGCTTGTAAGATTAAAATCTTTTGAACTCTGAAACTTGTCACTTCTATTATAGATATTTTAGATGAGAAGCGCGAGTAATAGTTTTGTTTGCCTTCTGTTTATAAATGAAGTAGATTCTTTAACTGCTCTCCAGCTCAAAGGGTGGGCACAAGTTCAAATTAACTTCTGTCAAAATTCTGAGGTTACAACGTCATGCTTGCTAGCTTTAGCTAAGAATAGAAGTAACTTGCATGTTTACGTTTTAATTGTACGCTGCATGATTTTTAGACGCTTTTTTGGCTTGACTTTTACACCTCGTTAATTTGTTCCTGTCTTTTTCAGTCTTCTGTGCGAGGGTGTTTGTTTTGTTTTGGGGGTGGGGTTTTTTTGGCCAGATCTATGGTACAATGATCTCTGTTTATAAGCAATGTTTCTTTTATGTCATATGTCAGATAATGCTTTGACACAAGAGTAATGAAGCCTACCATCGTTTCTTTTCTGGGACCAAATAAAATACCCAGTAGTTTTTTTTTTTGCAAATCGGATAACTTACTTCTTGCTAACAGGCTACATATTTAAAACACTGTTTTGCATAACGTCTCGGTGTAATCTCGTAGGAAGTTTGTAAAACCTGATAGCTGCTTGTCCCCAAGACAAGAAAAAAAAGGATTACTTTACTACTTTGATATTTCAAAATCAAATTGGAGATTTTAAATAAAGCCATATGTCTAGAATCAGTCTTTCTGTGTGAGGCACATCATATGTGACAGTATGTGAAATGGTCAGGACTTCAGAGATACGGTTTTTTTTATGATACACAAATCTTTCTCAAAGTTCTGTATACCTTAATTTTTAAAAAAATACCTGAGTTGATTTGAGCAATATAATTTTGGTTGCATATTGATATTGTTTGCAAATCTCTCTCTCAAAAATATTTTATTTAACACAGTTAAATCTGTTCAACCAATCCTCTTTTTTGTTTTGCGAGAACCTAAAGAATCCTCCCCTCTATCTATGTCATATTTAAATTCAGAGTTTCGATTGTCATTGTGTTACCAAGTTGATCTGAATATTAATACAACCTTTCGTAACAGAAAAATAAGGCATTTTATGTGTGCGTTTGCCATGTGTGTGATCTCTTACCACAGTGACTACTTAAATGCTTTTTTTTTTTATATTCACAGCACAGGGAAAGATTCCACCCAATGCAACACTGATCTTTGAAATTGAACTTTATGCGGTAAATAAGGGACCACGCAGTGTTGAAGCATTTAATCAAATAGACAAGGACAGTGACAAGAAGCTCTCTCAACTTGAGGTAATATGATGTAACTAATTTGAAATATTTGTAAACCATAGATATAGTTATCTGTTGTAGTTTACCGTTACCTTTACATGAGCTGCCTCTGCTTCAGTTATCATATAAAGCTTTTGTATGCTTACACTGTGCAATGTTGACATTTGCTGCAATACAATAATATGTTTCAGACTTACTAGGAATCAGACTTCCCTGTCTTCACAGCAGTCACAATAGCTCATGTTTGTACCCCAAGTGTGCTTGAAGGTAGCTGTTGAGTAGTCCTGGCCTAAAAGCCAAAATAGTGCAGGACTCGGCACTAAAAAAATGCCTGAGTATTTACTCAGTTTCTTAGACACAATTTGTGTCCTTGGGGTTTCCGAGAAGCAGGCCAGAGATTAATCTGGACTCATTCGGCTTCTGACACTCTTTAAATTGCCAGAAAAATCATGGCACTTTTGGTTGTAGAATATCGCTCAATACAAATTCAGAAAGTGCCAGAGGTTTTAATGGCAGCCACTTCTTGAAAATTTCTCATCTCTGCTAATGAATTTTGCACCCCCAAAATTTCAAAGGCTGTTTAACTTTTTGGGGAGGTTTGGCATATTTCTGCTATGGAATTTGAAGTATTGGGATTTTTTTAGAATATATAAAGTTATTTTATTTGAAGTGCACCTATACGCTAATTTTTGTGACGCGCGTAGCAAACTCATTTTTTTCTTTTCTTTTAGATAAGCCAGTATTTGAAGGAAGAATTTGCAAGAGATGGCAAAAAACGTCATCCCTCAGTCCATGATGAAATCTTAGCTGATATATTCAAGAAGAACGACCATGATGGAGATGGTTTCATATCAGCAAAAGAGTACAACGTCTATCAGCATGATGAACTCTAAGTACTTACAAAATCTCTGGCTGTTTTCTGGACATTGAATTTAAAAAATTTGGAAAATAATTCTTTGTCACATAATTTTTTACATTTTTTATAGTGGCATATTTTATATCTTTTAAGATATTTGTAAAAATCTTGTTTTTTAACACTTTATTAGTCAAATGTGTGATAGATTTTACAACAGAAAGAAATAAAATTGGAAAACAGGATGATCTGTTATTAGTTTTTTGTCATGTCCTAATCTACAGTATTGCTCAGGGTCTTCCTCATTGTGTAAGTCACTGATCAAAATATTTTTTTCTGTCCTATCAAGCAGGCACAAAAAAAATGATTCCAATACGAGCTGTCATACTTAGAAACATTTATCAATTCTAAGTCCTTTGTAGAACGAAAAGGGAAAACAGAATCCCAGGAAGGAAAATTTATTCTAACTCTGTAGAGTTTCTGCTGGCTTTTAGGCCAGGTTCTCTAGGAATTGCTATGTACTGCTTTGAAGCATTATGCAGCAAATCTTAACTATTAAAAGTTTTAGAATAAATGAATGCACCTCTAGAATTTAAAGAGAAAAACAGAAAGATTTTTGAAGTAACATAAAATAACCTCTGTGGTGTAGGACTAAGTCGAATAATTTGATGTTTGTGAAAACTTGGTATTGTAAGTGAATTTTTAAACTTCAACCTTAATAAAATTCATAATAAAATTAGTCAATTCATTCAACAGCACAAAGTTAAAAATCTATGAGATTGTATTTTATTTGAATGAGATGGAAGATGATGGGAGATACTCTATATAGACATGAGTAGCTGTCTGGGCGTGATTTTGTTCTCCCTCACATTGGAAAAATGCGAAGAAAATTGTAGTTAATATCAGACAGTAATTCTGGATAGCTGACTGTTTCTCTTATATGAGTGTCATCATAACACTTGAGTTCAACTCTGCACTCTTAATTTCTAGTGAGAAAAGTGATTGCAGTGTTTATTTCAATGTGTAATAAATAGATACACACAGTGAAAATGGCAGCACAAATAAAAAGGCTTCCACACATGGCTTACCTTTAACATCATACTAAAAGGTAGGAAAAAAAAAATTGTTTTCTCACTTTAAAATAGCATGAGAAGAAGCTGGATAGCATACCAGTCACTAACACTTCTAATGTGCGTTTATGGTGTCGGACACTATTCTGCAGTGCCCTCTAGAGTAGATATTCTCAACAACACAAACTTGCGTTTTCGCTGTTGATGTCTGTAGTCTAAACCTTCACACCCGAGTATCTAGGTTTGATATTTTTCATAAACATTTTCTGTTAAAAAAGGTTTTCTAAATACATAAACGTCAAGAGCAGATATGATCTAAAATCCAAATGCAAAATGTGGAATTGCCAGTACTTTTTAGTTCTCTAAACAAACTACTGACATATGGTAATCGCATCCTAATATGAAACTCATATCCCCAGGTTTGGTTGTTCCGTTTTACAAATGAAATGTTAGACTGAGCTAACTTTTAACATGGTTTTTAATCTGATACTTCAATTAATAATTTAGTGCTCTCATGAATGTTTAACACATTTTCTCATTTTACCATCATACGCCAGTGTAGATAAAGGCGCAACATCTTTGGATTTAAGAACAAGTTTGTGTAAACAACTTGTTTATAAACAAGTTCTAGCTTATAATCTTGACATTTAGTTTGAAAGTCCATATTTAATTATTATGAATGATGAAATGAGAAAGTGCTAGAAAGAAGAAAAGTAAAATGTTAGGGAATGGCCTAGGGCATTTTCAGGTAATTAAAGTGATTATTTTTATGTGTGAAGCAAATAATTTGGAAATAGCAGTAGTGTAAGAATATGTTTTGCACTTTTACTATTTTTACATTTAAAGAGCTAAAGTCAAATGTACTAATTTTGAAAAAAATTGTGGCACAGTTATGCCCTTGTCTGCAACAACAGGCACTTACCTAGATCAGTTACCTTACTCTCTTATGCCAGAGGTCAAAACAGGGCACAGCATGCAGTCGTACATATTTTTGTCCATTAAAAGAACACTCTAGGCATCCATAGACTGTCTCCCTTTTAGAACTTCCCATTCCACAGAGGATACAGGGACCTTTGGGGATGTTGTTATTAAGTAAATTAATTCGGATATGACCCCCTTCTCTGAGATAGCTTGTAGAGAGATCAGTCATGCTCGCAGCTTTTTCATAGTAATCTGTGAAAAGATCCTCCAGGTAAGCATCAGAGTTAGCAATGGAATCCACTACTCTTTTATCTGAAAAAGAATGCACAAAACATAGCCATTGTTTGTCTTTACATTATCAATTATTTAAAAGCAATCTGTTGATGGAAATAACTGATTTATGAAACCACTATAAGCTTTACACATTGAAGATTACTGCCCATCAAAAGCCTTGTGAGGTGAAGACTTTCCTGTAACTTCACAAAAGATGCTCCTGTACCAGAATTTTTGTGTGTAATACCTGTACAATACTATCATTATTCAAAAAAAAAAAAAAAGCACCTAAAAAGATGGGCATGAGGCAAGCTCTTGAAAAATTGATGCTAAATTACAGCTGAGCGCTAATTTTGTTTTCCAAAAATTATAAATTATGCTTATTTATTTTGAGTGTTTACAGAAAACAGCCAGTACTTAAAAGGTTTAGACACTTTGGAAGGTTCCATGTTGACCTCAACAGATTTCTGAGCATCTAAGAACCATAGGAAGAAATCACTTCTCGCATTACTTAATTTTCCCCTCTCTCTGCAGTGATGGACTAGTTTAGATTAGACAACAAACTTGTAGGCAGCTACAACAAGTGAGATGTGTCATATTTTAAGGATTTATCTTCACTCTCCAGTTTGCAGCTTTCCACGATACGTAGACCAAGAAGTATTCAAAAATAGGCTCTTGTTCTACATTCATGTGAATAAATCCCCAAATTTGAGTGGCACAGTGTCAGAGGCAACCTGCAGAAAGTAGTTACATACAGTAATAAAGACTTAGTTTTACCAGAACATTGTGTTTATATCCGTTGGCGTGAGAAAAGAAAACTGTGACGGTATCTTGCCCGTCTCCCTGCCGTGGGAAGTACACCCCCAAAGAGTATATTCTAATACTTAAATTAACATAATTTAATATATAAACTTCACCATAAAGACTTTGCCATGAAATATAATTTATATATTATACTTGGAATTGCATAATACTGCCTGTAAACTGCAAACATATGAAGCAGGTTTCATTTTAATTGAAGTTAATTGTATAAAAATTCTAAATCAGTTTATCATTTTTAAAAAGCTTTTGAGTTTTAATGAAGAACAAAACCATACATTTATTATTTGTGAGAAAAGTCAGAATATCTCAATATAACTTTCAAGAACTTTACAATCATGTCAATAGACAAGAAATTAAAAGAGGTACATTTTTTTATGAAATTTGCTCTTGATTAAATATTGAATCTCTCACACAAGTTAAACAAAAAAACAGACTTCATGCATTAATCAAGACATCTGGTTATAAATATCAAATGTCATACTTCGATGAAACAGATTACTCCTCAACATCCTTAATTTGTTCAGTGAAGATGATCCAGATTTCTCTTTTTCAAATCCGCCTTTTGAAATTGGAGTCACACAGAGTTCTGTAACAAAATAAGTTTTTAGAAGAAAATCTAGAAAGTTTTTAGATGAAATATAAAAACAATAACTGCACAACACACGTGTTTTGTGTTAACACATGTGTTAACATATGTTTTTCTACTTTAGAATAAGTTTATAAAGGTTACAGTGATTAAATACAGCTTTGCCAATGTTTATAATGAATAGGACCAGTTTCTAATACAAGTCTGCACACAGTAATAGCTCACTGAGTTAAATGCAATGGAGAGATTCAGTGAAATAGAATATCAATTAATTAATTTCAGAGCTTTGGTGGTTTATACCAATATATTAGGTAAGACTTTTTTCTATTTTTTTCAATTTCTGGTCATGTTAAGGGGCTAAGGCAGTCAGCATCGTATAAATGGAAGTTTCAGTTCTGAAGGAGAAACATGTCCATAATCTTATTTGAAACTAAAAATGAAAAACTGTAAGCAAGACTTACTGTGAATTCTGTAGTGATCTCATTCAGCACCGAATTAACTACAAAAACTTTTTTTATATAAAAATAAGTAAGTATCACCCAAGTTTCTATCCGTAACTTAAAAAAATTGCAGTTAAATATGTGGATGGCTAATTACAAAGAACTTAAAACGTGTTTTAAAATTTCTCAGTTTACAATTCTCTTTAATTATATAAATACAAACACTAGCTTCATTGATTATTTCACTGACAATGACCTTAGCAGACCTAGTGCATCTACCTACCATTGCACAAAGGTAAAGTAAAATTAAAACACTTCCAAAATTTAAATTAATGTTGAGCTTTTGTAAATAAATGTAAAGAAATATTGTACTACATTAATCTCTTTCTTTTAAACTGGTAATTATGCCTATTTGGGAATATATTTAAAGTTTTTATAGGAGTGTAAAGGTATCTCATAATTTAGCATAACTTCTTTAAAATGCAGAGTTTCTGTCACCAAATTCAGATACTGTGTATGCCAGAGTACACGCACGCAGCTCTTTGCAGCTTCTAGAACAAATAGTGAAGCATGCATCCAAAGAGATAAAGACTACTTCCCAAATTAGGTCTTACTGGTTTTGCTATTAAAAAATAGTGTTAATTATAGCATCAAGCAATTCCTGTAACAGTTGAGTGACTCTCAGATGTTTCTGTATTTAAGTATATGTGAATCTAGCTGTTAAAACTTTAACATTTTTTAACATCATTTAAGTAAGTCAAAAGACAGTTTTACATTTGATATTATTAAGAATTAGATCAAACCCTAAAACTGAATTTCTGCTTTATTACAAACGCTATTGATAACACTGATAATGTTATAGGCTACAATTTAAATAGTTCTAGGCTACGATAAGAAATATTGAGAACTAATGTGAGTATATAAGGTCTACCCTTTCCACAAAAGAATGACTTATAGGAGCTGTGTAATTTTTTGTATTTGTTCTGAGTAATTGGGGTTATTTCTCTGTAAATATCTTCAGATAACCAAATGTGGTAATGATCTATCAGACTGAAGTTAAAGCCTTAACAGAAAAAACATTGGCTTTGTTTACAAGTTCTACACACTTTCTTATTTGCTTGGGGTTTTCACTTTTCCGGTCTATGTGAAAATGATCAGGAGGTCTTATAAGCCAGTTCATTAAAGGCCAGAAAGTAAGGAAGTTGTTTTTGTTCCATTCAACTGTGGGATTTAAAATAAAAAAAAAATTAAAGGTTTTACTTAACTTTTAAAACTCTTTCCATGACAGACTATTTTCTAATACCTGCATTGTTTATCTTTTCAAGAAATGTGTCCGTTAACGAAGTCAAACTGCTGATGTTCATAAAATTAAGTATTTTATGGGTTTGGGGCTTATGTATACCAAGAGCAAGAAAACTGTTATAAAAATTCAGGCTTCTATAAATAATAGCAGTAATGACAGTAGCGCACATCACTTACCAAAATTACCATCCAAATGAATAAAAAGTTCAAATACACTAAATGCAATAGTTGTATGTGCAGGAAAAACAATGGCTTTGTCCCGTCCTTTACAATTTTGATCTTCAATAAAGTGAAACTGCAATTTAGAAAAGTATTAAAAGGAAAAAAGTTTCAAATTGAAATGAAAAAAATAAATAGAATAATAGCTTAGCTATATATATAGGGAATTGTAATGCCAGCAGGTGAAACTGAACATCAAATTTCACAGCCAAAGAATTTTATATTAACAACTGTGCATGTTAACAAAGTGTGCTATAGAGAGGGTAGCCTAACTGGCATCATGGTCATTGAGAATTGTGTGACTGATTCATACATACTAGTAGTGGGTAAACCTCAGAAGATTTGCAAGTTGTAATGTTCAAACACACTGATAATCTTGTGTATATGCATGAGAATCTCTGTCAATGCCATGCCTTTACCTTTCCAGTGACCTGATTCCCAATAAACCTTAACTCTCTGATCACCTGAAACCAATCTCCGTATTTTATCCCCCGTCTCTAATCACTCAGTCACGACCTGTACATAGAAGGGCAGGTACCCTGTCCAAAGCCAACTAACGTCTAGAGCTCTCGAGAGCGTATATGACAGGGAGCAAGACCCTGACCGTTGTAGTAATAACAACCCGAAGTTGTAATGAGTTATAGAAGATGAACGTAATAATGAAAGATTAACTTTATGTTTGTTGGAGGTTCAAAGTAAGAAGTAATTTCCATGTTTTTGCTGAAACTTCACCAAAGCAATGGCTCATCGTCGAGCCATCCTTTCATAAATTTCCCACCCCTCGTTCACAAAAGCAATACTAATAAAAAAGAAGTTCTAATTAAATTTACATCAGTGCAATAATATTGATTTACTTTAGAGTCTTTCAGATATTACATGAGTAAAAATGCAATTAAATCCAACCACAAACATCTATAAAGATAAGCTTTTTTTTTTTTTTAGGTTACAGAACTTTGACAAACATATTTACCCTCATCGTCTCTCCTCGCATTCCAGTATGGACAGTTAATGAGCACTGCCTTGTAGTTCTAATACTTTCCATGACCACGCACAAAATTTCCATCCTACTTTTTCTTGATTGATGGACTAGACAATGGTCAAAGTTTATTTTTCTAAAATCAAGAGGCAGGAAGGAAATTCAGAGATTAGTAGCTATTTATAAAGCAGCTAATGTAATTAGTAACTTTAAATCAGTAAATCACCGTAAATTCGGTCTCGTATCTGTGAAACAGCTGACTGAGGAGGTCTCAGGAACTTCAATGTTGATTTTTAGTAACTGGGAAAGAAGTGCCGAAAGAATTCAAAGAAAGCTAATAGTGTACCAATGTTAAAAAGGATAAGTGTACATCCTAGAAAACTGTAAGTCTATCCTCCTGACACTGTTCTTTAGAACAGTTAAGGAACTAAGAAACTGTCAACACAGACACAAATTAATATAGATTTTTTTAAGAAGTTATATAACTAATGTCAGCCAATAAGGGTTTATGGAAACCAGATCTTTTCTAATACAGTTATGAGTCCAGTTAATAAAAGTGATAACTTTAATGCTATACTTCAGAGTTCTATAAAGCATTGGGCCATAGAATATTTTGATTAGAAAACTAAAATGGTAAATATAGAAGTTGGCATATACTAAATGAAAAAGTAACTATAAACATGGAATATTCATCCAACAAGTGTGTTTCCAGAGGATCTCTACAAGCATTGGTTCTTAGTCTTGTAATAGTGATTATTTTTATTAAGAAACAAGGACACCCTCCCCAATTATTAATGATAATGTTTGGAGGTTACAAACAAAGGAAAAGGTAGATATAGAACAAGACAGGGTTACAGATACAAAATGACCTGCACTGCTCAGTAAATAAGTAGAGGCAAACAATATATATTTGAATATACCAAATGTCAAACCATGCACAGTGAATAATTTACTGGGATGCAACACTGGGATTCACAGAGGCAACACTGTGGCCAGGCAGTAATCCTTGAACATACAAACAGGAGAATATCACCTGAGAATGGACGCATTATATACCTATGGGTTTGGCATTTGTGCCAACACTGCAGGGACACTGAGTTCAGTTTCAGCGTCCACAGTTCAAAAAGGGTGTTTCAAAAATTGAACTGCACTTAGAGAAGAACCGTAGACCATTATGAAAAAAACTCAAGCGGATAAATCTGTTTTGCTTTTTGAAGGAAAGGTTGAGTATTAACCTCAAAAAATCCTGAAGTACCTACATTGGCAATAATTTTGGCAACATATGGTTCTCCACTTCATCAGATGAAGGCAGAGAAATGATCATATTTCTGAAAGCTGAAGGTGAATCTTGTCATTTGAAGTAAATTTCAAATTTTCCGTGGTACAGAGTAAAATACATAAGGGTTTTGATGAACTTTTCCTCTCTAGATATCATGTAATACCTTTCTTCCTAAAGGATGCACTGTAATTCAAAGACTTAATCCAGAAGAAGTCTGTAGCCTGGGTTATGCAGAAGGTCATGTGTCTAATCACAGTGATCTACCCTGAGACTCTTAGACCTATGAGAAATTTTGAAAACTATTGTGACTGTTATCGATTGCCTAAAAATAGTCAAAACCTAACTATTTCTGTATTAATGAGATTTTTTTCAGAGGTTCAACCTAACTGCACAAAACGTAATTACGGAACCAGAAAACAATATATATAATGTAACCTTGTATTAAGTTCTTTAAGTAGCGTTGGTACTTCAACCTCATGTTTGGTCACTATGCCAAATGAAGCTTTAAAGGCAACAGAATCTGATCCAGCAACATCAAAACCAACATCATTCATTATCTGATTTCCTCTTCTACCACTGAGCGAAACATCTGATTTGTCTTCATAGTTGAGCAACTGGTAGGATGAGACACCTGAGTGAAAGAAGATAATCACTGTACTGAAGAGTCTGCATGCAGTATTTTTACATAGTATTCTGCATTTGTAACAGGACATTATGATTATCTTAAATTTTTAATAGAATAAATTTAAAGAAGAAAGTAAATTATACTGTTCTTACCATACTTAACCTTGAAACTTTGTTCTTTTGATGTGAAATTCACACCAACATGGCGCACTTATTTCTCAGTGTTGCTACTGATGACTAATTGGAAAAGAGGATGTTAGGGGTCCAAGGGGTTCCTGTGCCTCTCATTAGCAGAGCTGTGCCCACACTCTCGCGTGTGACATGTCCTAGACATGTGATTGTCATTAGGGCTACTTCTATATTTGTGTGTGTACGGGTGAAAGTATTTTAGGAGAACTAACAGTAAGTATGCTATTGTTTCTTTGCCTACGTAGATAAGCAGTGATCTGTGTTTAATGGCAGAGATTGAAACACAAAGAAAATAACTTCTTGGAGACCACATAAGAGGATCAAATCTAGGAACAAACTGAAAGCCGGCATAGCTCCTATAGATGTCATGGCGCATTACTAATTACTTGAGTATGGCTTTGGTACTACACAGGTAATTCTCCTTCCTTTCTATTTTTTTGTACAAATCAATTTTTTTTCAAGTTATGTATAAATATTTCCCATGTAAAATAAAGTTAGTAATTTCTGAATTTTGTATAGATATGTAGTACAAATGAACCTAAATTTGTTCTTCATTTCTGCAATAAATGAATGAAATACAGGCCTACCAGTAATTTTAATGTTGCCTTCTACCTGACGTGTTTCAATTAGAAAGACTTACCACACTTGAAGGGTTCATACCTAATGAGTCCAGAGACTATGTCAGTTTTATTCTAAAGGAAAACTATAGACTAATTCTGACTTACTTCAAAGTTTGCATGCATATATTGTACAATAAAAGGGTAGCCCCAAAGCATTTTTATAATGCTTTCCCTGTACCTTTCAACACATTTCTGTTATGCTACCAGAAAAAAAAACGGAAACTATTGGTTACCTAGTTAAAATGAATAGAGCAGAAAAAATATAGGGATTAGGCATCTAAATACATTTGAGAATCGGGGTTTAATGCCGTCCTTTTTAATTCTTTGAAGGTTTTTTGATAAAGTGACATCATAAAATCACCTAGTATAAATCCTATTTATTTTTAACAATAAAAAGTTTCATATAGTTTTCATAATGCTAAAAAGATGGGAAAGGTTTGTATTTATTACCAAAAAATGGAAATTCAATTACAAAGTTATTTGCTTACGTTAAAGGACAATACATTCTGCTCATAACATCTAACCTTTACAGAAAAGACTACTAAGTATTTTTCAGACTTTTTAATGAGATTTTGCAGTCTTTTATACTCACACTTTTTAAAGTACACATACTGCCCTGTCTTAGTAGAGTTTTTAATTAATGTAAGTTTTTTTAAATGGGCTATTTTTTATTTTGGAAAATAAAGCAATGAAAATTTTTCAGAAAATATATAGCATGTAGGTATTAATTACATGGACTTTTCAAATAAAAATAAGGGGAAATACAGGCAGTATAGTCCAATTTTGTACCTCCTAATTCTGATAGAATCTCCTCAAAACCTTCTGGTATTACATAGCAAAGGCAATTTAAACACAATTAAATTCTTTAAACATATGAGAAAGATTACAAACATGGAAAAAACTTTTGAATATCCTATTACTTCAGTCAGATAGCTGCTGTCAAATGTTTGTACCTGTGCAGAGGCCAATTCAGTAAGTCAACACAACGGAATAATGGCATGAAATAACTGCAGAACTGAGACCATGTATTCAAAAGTGCATATATAGAGCAAGATGAACATTAAAACATCCAAATTTTAAGTAACAATTAATCAAGATACATTAATACATTTATCAGGAATCTGTTGTGATTTTTGAAAAAAATCTAAGGCTCAACTGAAGTTGTTATGTATTAGTACAGAAAATACAAAAGTTTGTCAGTATAATCGATTTTTTTCCAAAAAGTCATATTTTGTATTTTAATCGATATTTGACTTGTACATTTTTCCTAAATATTTATTACACGACTAACAGAGATGCACTTTCTTACAAATGTGCTAAAGAACCATCATGCTACCTGTACAAGGTTCAGCTATAACTACTGTTCTGCATTTACTGAAAAACAGACATTTTTCCGCATTAAAGAAAGACAGAAAACTTACCCGCAGAGATTTCCTTCTCCCCTTGAAGAATGTCTTTTAATGTGAACGGCGTTGAAGCAAATTTAGACTTTTTTGAAAGAAAACATTTTCTTTTCTTAATTACAAGACTCAGCGGTTGGTATTTATCAGCTTCACTGAGACTAGGCACAGGAACTAATCTTCCTCCGTCACCAACCTGTTTAACGAAGTTTTTGGTTGCAGCAGCAAACATATTACGGCATCAGTAATGATAACAATGAAGCTCTGTATCAACTGTAACTTCCAAACCTAAAACCCATGTTCAGTCTGTTTGCAATGTTCTTTCAAACAAATAAATATAATAAAAAAAGCTGTCAAACTTTTTTTTTTTTACTTGGAAAGAACCAACAGCATCTTAACTACTCAGCTTCTAAAATGTATTGCTCAAGACCGCTCTCTAAGACCTTCAGCTAAGCTCTTTAATTCTGCGTAATGAATAATGAATTACCAGTGTAAACTGATAGGGAAAAGGTTGCCCTTTCACTCTTTGAAAACAAAAATTATAATTTTAGAAACAAAAGATTGCAAATTCTGCCGGCTTTAGTTTCCTGCGAGCAGGTTACTGGTATGTTTGCTGTTTATTGACTGCTTGCTGCAGTAGAATTGCAGTGCGTTTCGCCACCAGTGAACAAAGCAGTCCAGGAGAGCTCCTAAATTACGCATCTGTGCCAGCCGGTAGGTCTGCTGAGATGGTATTTCCTTTCAATAGCAGTTGCATAACGTACCTGTCAAACAGCTCAGACTGCGTGTAAATGGTGTGTGGGTTTTTGGAAACACCTGGGCCAAAGCAGAAGACTGGCGATGGCTGGGGGCAGGGTGGAAAACAGGGATGGGCGTTCATTAGATATTAGTGTCTCCTCAGGTATAACCCCAATACCCTCGCCCTATGGATTCAGCTGTCTGTGATCCAGGGCCTAGTTTTGACACAGAGAAGTTGCACGTAACTGGCTCAGACTTCTGAGGAATTTGCTAAGTTGTGAAAAAGAGCTGTGAGAAAGTATACAGGGCAGAATCACACAAAACAAGAGAAGTAAAACTGCAGACAAAGGTGAGATCGTTGAAACGGGATTAGGGAGCAGCTCCAGGAGTCAAGAGGGAAAAACACCAGTGTAAAAAGGTATAAACACTCTGAAGAGGAGAAGGGGAGTCAGTAGACAGCTCCCTGGAGAACCTGTGACAGAGGCAGCCCGAGCTGACCCTGTCTCATGTAAATGATAACTGTCTGGCCAGCAGAGATACTTACTTGTCTTTCAAGAGTGTTTAGCCTTGTAACACATCTTCCAGGTATTACTTTTGCAGTCACAGAAGGTATAACATCAGCAACAGGCTTGTAATGTTGCACTTCAATATGAATATTATCACTGGTTGCTGGTTGAAGGGTTTTGTTTGGTAGGGTTTTTTTGCACTGAGGAGTTCATTTAAAAACATTTTAAGAACTGCTTTAATGATGTGATCATTTATTTAATGATTTAACATGTTTCAACTTGGTTCTTTTCCGTGCTTCCATAACAATGTTTAAATATTTAGATTTTTCAGACGGCTCAATAAAAAGGCAAAGAGATGAATATGGTGCCTAGGCTATTTAAGATATTCTTTTGCAAGAGGAAAGGAAAGGCTGCCAGAGCTTCCTGCTTACTCTAGAGGGTGCTGAAAATCTAAGCTGGCTACAGGCTTTGAACGGAAATCGTATGAAACACTGCAACTCAATCTGACTGTAAATCATATTACACTGCACTAAGAAAAATTATACATATTTACTTAAAGCACATTACCAGAACTTAAAAGTTATAGTGGGAAGGAAAAGCTAAGAAAATTCCTAAATTAAAGTTGCCCATACTGTCTCAATTTAGATTTGTCATGTATATATCTTATGATAACTAAATATGAGGATACTGTCATTTCTAATGGATATTAAGCTCGGTGGGCACTGCTTATTCAATATTTATTTGTATTTGTCTTGTTTAGTGTGTCATCACAAATCATACTCGGTTCAATCCGAACACCTGTTCTGACAATTAAGTTTCATTCGGTATGTCTGTGGTGCTGAAGTTACTCCATCACCCTACAATGCTGCAGAATACACTTGTCAGAGTAGAGTCTGCATCATCCTCATACTCCAGATCAGGGAACTGGAGTGCAACTAAATTAATGTCAGCATGTTCCAAAAACATTCACTAATTTTGTATCTCCAAGTTAAGATACCTAGGACACTTTTTTCAGTACTCGGCATTTTATAATACTTACATTTGGCATACAGGTGTAGTTATGAATGTTCAGCATTTCTGCAGCCCTAGCTCTATCTCATTTTGGGCAACCAGTGAATGGTAAACATGTTGCGTATACATTATGCCTGAGTCAGCACTTGAATAAAATCTTGCATTGCCAACTTGTAGAGATGAAAATCCTTCCTCATACACAGGTTCAAGGCTACCTTTGGGGAGTGCCAGCCCCAGACCCTACAGTATCCCTTAGCAAAGGGTCATGTAACTAAAGTGGCTAGGCATCCCATCTGCTCTTGCAACACAGCATCCTTCGTAGAACAGCAAAAGGGCTTACTAGACAGACTGAGCTTAGGAGCTAGGTCACGTTGAACCTTTACCCTGACCCAGGATCCAAAAAAATGGGGGGGGGGGGGGGGGGGGAGGGGGGGGGGGGCAGGGGGGACAAAACAAACAAAACCCACACATAGAAGTATCCCCTAGTGCCCACCTATGATATCCTTTTCCTTAAGTGGTCTGCTCTGAATATTATAAGAACTCATTATTAGTGTCAGAGAAAATCATTCCTCCAGTTTCCTTGGTTGTGAGAACACACTTTCTCTTCATGTTACCCCCTCTCCCTGTAGTTACATACCCTCCAACCTTTGCGGGAAAAAAAAAAAAAAAGTGAGAGAAGGAGGAAAATCTTACTGGCAACAGCCTCATTCACCAATTGATCTGCCGAGCAGGTTCGTGGTGCGTATAGCCAGAAGATGCGATTCTGTGCAAGAAAAAAAGATGAAGTGATGTAAAAACATAATACACAGAGTATTCTCTATTTTTAATACATTTTATGCCTTGATAACTCTAACTTAACTCTGTTCTCTGCTCCTAACACTCTCTTCTGTTTCTGTTCGAGCTGTCCATCGCTTGTACAGAGTGGAGCTGTCTTTAAGTTTGTCTTTTAAGGACATCACAAGCCTAAATGTAGGGAACAGTTTCAAGGTAGCTTATTCAGCTCTTTGTTTTACAGGCTCCGTGAAAATCCTTCACCTGGATTAATAGATTTAAAAAAATCCACTATTCTTAAATAGGATAGCATGATATATGACTGTTTTACCTATGATGTGATGAAGACCATACAGGTATTCTTAGCTGATTTTTGGAGCGCGGTGTTACCAAGACCCTTTGGGCATTATGTGAAGCAGTCTTTGCCTTTTAGTGTACCCCTGTATAATTTTGCTGTTTAGTTATTACTGAAATAAAAACTATGACTGTAATAATAAAGAATGAATGAGTTTTTATAACCAAAGACTAACTGTTGAAAGGGAAGCTTACAGATGGAACAGGACTAAATCCTTCATAGAGTTGGGTCTAACCTTTGTATCTCTAAGAACCGGCAGTTCACAAGGGATGGAGATTACCTGAATATTTACTTGAACATGAGTCAGGGTCTGCTTATAAGATAAGAGTTTACAGTGACTTACAGAATAGAAATGTTTCTCGAAACTGGTATTTATTTTATCAAAACAGAACATGACGAATTCAAAACTTTTCCACAAGGCTAGTTTCCATTACTAGTTCCTAATGCATTGTCAGTGTTGCCTCTCTTCCTCATTTCATTTGAAAAGAATATCTATTAGTGCACTTATTTATCAGATCCTCAGCATACATTAGGCACACTTGAAACACAAAACAAAATTCTTTCTATTGAATTCTATACATTCAGATACTGAAATGCAATTTCAATTTTCTACTGCAGGTTAATATCATGTTTATAAAAAGAGTCCATTACCTTCAGCGGACAATTATCTAGTCAGGTTTTACAGCAAAATTGTAGGGGCACAGGGTTACAGAAAAAACTTAAAAGCCTTATTAAGGCTAGGTACCCTATATAATAATGCTTTTTTTAATGTCACTTGGACATCTGCAAGCAAATGCGTCCTCAGATGACATCAACATTCTAAACATTCTAAGCAGGTAACATCACCTATATAAGGTAATGCATATAATGCACTTAATAAACTTGCCTACTTTGGGAAACTATTTTCCAACATAAAAATAGGATAGAGACTGTAAACGGACATAAACAGAAGATTCTGTTCAAATATATGAACGTAATCTGCGTGGACAATATGCTGTACAAATATAAACTATCAATCAGGATCTCAGAAAAGAATATTGCTGACTAAAACTCATGCCTTACCTAAGTTGAGCTTTCTGCTAAGGTTTTGCACTAGCATTTGCTTTCTTGCAAGTTTTATTAAAAAAGCACAGCGTTATCTTCGAAATAGTATTTTTCTGTGATCTAATGACCACTACTGTCTTAGCTGGAGAGAAACCTCAAAGTGATTTTTGGATTGCGTGTTTTGCAGGAGGGAGGGGGACGACCAACTGAGTTTACTGAAGCTCAAATACTGATGTTTAGCTGAAATTAGGAAAATGGAGTTTAGAAGGGGAAACAAGTTGAAAATACTTAGTACAGAGGATGAATAACAAGATACTTTTCTTCATATGCAGGATGAGTTCTCATTCTTCAGAATAAGTCTTGGCCATGAAGTAGTAAGGGAGCAGGCAAGTAACTAGCTGAGAATTGTGATGCTCAAATACTTTTTTCCCCTCCTTACATTATATTGTGGAGTTACATATATATATATATACACATTATATATACACACATTACATATATATATGGAGTTTATTAATTAATGGTAAAATCTAGAGCGCAGTCTGAGTTTCTGCATAACTATAAAAAGCATTTCATCTTCAAAAGTTATTATGTAATTCCATAACAATTTGTTTGTTTTATTATTAGGTAATTACACTAGGACTTCTAGAATTGCATTTATAGGCTGACTTCAGCTGCACCAAGTCAAAGGCTTGCCCAAGAAACTGAAAATGTGGAATTAGCTCACCAATTTAAATCGAGAACATTAATCTGCTGATGGTTCCAGTGTCTCTGTAATCTGCAAGAACTGAGTGGATTTTAGCCTGT